CCCCCGTCTCCCCCCAGAAGAAGAGGCATCCAGTCTTGAAAAGAAAGAACAACTGCAGTGAGACACAGCCCTCTTGCAGAGACTTGCTAGGGAGCAGTGCAAGTTCAGCAAGGGATGCTGACACTTCACTGTCACCCCTCCAAAATTCCTTGAAAGCTTCTTTCCGAACAGAATTCTGGGGAATAGCACAGTGACAAAATCATTTTTTTTTTTGACAAAACAATAAGTCTGACTTTCATTTGAGAGCCCAAAAATAATCTAGAAATACTCTTTAAGCAATGAAGGAAAACAATTATAAAAGGGGGTGGGGTCTCAAAATGTTCTTTGTGAAATGGCCAGAAGCAGCTCTCTGAATTTTACAAAACAGACTCATTCCCGTTTATCTCCTAGAAAATATTTTGTATAAACTGACATCCTCAAAATCTCTTTCATCTAGTGATACTGCTGACTAGGAGGACACTGTCCCTCCCACTCTGAACTTAAATATTGGGGTTGGTAGGATGTTTATGAATGACTATAAACTGAAACTGCAAAAGATATGACCTGTTCAAGTGACTGTCTACGCTGAAAATTGAGTCCCTGTTGGTATGGGGTGTGGGGGGGAGAATATAATAGTGAGCAATGCTTGGGACTGTGTAGAAGCAGACAGGCAGAATTTTGCCCCTCCAATTTACTAAATGGCAAGGCATTAGCTGTATTTCTTCACAGGATCTACACATTTTCACACTCCTTTTCCATAAAAAAACAATGGATAATGTTTTCTTCCTTTAAAGGTACATACTGACTGCTCTGCACATGCAGGTCTGCGGATGGACAGAACAGGTTGCCATGCAAGGATTAATTACGTATTCTCCACTTGGATATAAGATGTGAAGTTCAGCAACACAATTCAGCCATCAGCCTCTCCTTAAAAAGGCAAAAACTCTGGAAATCCCGTGCCGAGACCACTGGCTGCCCCACACCAGCACTTCTCAGTGCCTTACACCGCCACCGTTCAGACAGTTGGTTATTGCTTTTTACTGCATATCCTGAGCACATGCACTTGTGCTCCCCTTGCTGTCAGAAACTGATGGGAGATTTTCTGCAGTTAAAAGCAGTGTGGGGAAGGCATCCTTCTCTGACAGTAAGAATCTGTTCCTCTGTTATGACCAGCCACCACAAGAAAGCAGCCTGAAAGAGATGTAAAACTACAGCAGGTCTTATTATTTTTTCTTAAAAATAATTATTTTACTCTAAACTACATTCCACTCTCTAGACACTTGGCAATACATTAAGAAACAACCAAAACCCAGCTGCTACAGCACCTCAAGGAACTGGGGAGATGTCGAAGGACATGGGCAAGTCTTTGAAGTAGAGTGGCTTTCTTTATTCATTTCCCAAAAGCTGGGAGCAACTTCCAGGATCAAGACAAGGAAGATAGAAAGTTTTTTATTACTGGATTTTTCATATTTTAACTCTGTTTTAGTGCACTTCATTTAACAGCACAGGTAAAAATGGGGCAGTGTATCTACTGGACAAGATTCTTCGCATAGAAGGTGCTCACAATTGTGGAGCTGCAGTCTCCAACTCCTCCCCTGCTGCCTGTCCCCACAAGCCATTGCCACCCCCACCAACTCAGTGTCCCTAAACTTGTGTAATAACTCGCTGACACCTCATATGCATGCCAGAGCCCAGAAAAGTCTCTCCCAAGTAAAAGCGGATGTAAAGTCTTTGCTAGGCTACTACATCCTTAAATGCTGCTGTTCCTCTGCCTCTCAAGCCAAGTCTACACAGCTCTAAAGTCCTTTGTGCTTACATCATTACACAGATCAACTTATTCCCCTTACCTAATTTTAAAAAATACATATTATTTTTCTTTTTATCTTCACCTTATCTTCTCTTTTTCATTTTAGAAATGCTCCCTTGTCTGGGCTACTCCACTGTGAATTCTTCTGACTTAAATAAAATATTTATGGCTTTAAATATTCTCTGACAGCCAGAACCACAGGCCATATCCATGGCTGTAGGCTTTCCGCTAGCTAGAATCAGGCTTGTTACATTAATACAGCATAAGCTTCAGATCAGGGATTCCCAATCTCTTTGTAGTCAAAGCTTCCTTGAGATGACTGGAAATTATCTGAGTCCCACTGGGCTCAGCTCTTCCTCCACTGCTCATCAAATAGCACAGGGCTGCAGACAGCTCCTAACTCCCTCCAGAGCAGCTCCTCCTCCCTCACCTCTCTGAGTCTTTCCAGCACCTACACTGAACCTGTGCTAAGACATCCAGCTGATATCCGGAGCTAGGCACAGGTTCTGCTCTGCACTCTTCCATCCAAAGCAACGTTTCCCCTCTTGGGAACCATTGGTCATCACATCTTTACACAGTCTGAATGCAAACAGCATTTGCCAGCAGACTTTCTGCCAGACCAGCATTTTGCTTGTACCACTTCTTTAAGTCTCCAAGGTATTTCACCTGCCCAATACGTGAAGCATCACGAGAGCCAACACATATAGACAAAGAAGCTGCTGGGCTTTGAACAACTGTGTGGGTTTGTAGTGGGCAGGCATTCAAAATATTTACTTTTTGAATGGCTCCTAGTGACAATCAGGGCCTTCGACACAGTCTCCCATAGCATTCTCCTGGAGAAGCTGGCGGCTCATGGCCTAGATGGATATACTCTTCGCTGGGTTAAAAACTGGCTGGGTGGCCGAGCCCAGAGAGTGGTGGTGAATGGAACTAAGTCCAGTTGGCGGCCGGTCACAAGCGGTGTCCCCCAGGGCTCAGTCCTAGGGCCAGTCTTGTTTAATATCTTTATCAATGACCTGGATGAGGGGATTGAGTGTGCCCTCAGCAAATTTGCGGACGACACCAAACTGGGTGGGAGTGTTGATCTGCTTGAGGGGAGGAGGGCTCTGCAGAGAGACCTGGACAGGCTGGATCGATGGGCCGAGGCCAACTGCATGAGGTTCAACAAGGCCAAGTGC